TAACCCAATTGTAAAAATAAGCAACTAATTTGCAAAATTTTTTTCAAAAGAAAAAACAAATATTCAATGATACATGAAAAATTCTTAGTATTTTAGCTATCAAGGAAACACATATTGGAATTCCAATGACATACCCAAGGTAGAATGACTATTATAAAAAATAAAAACTGGTAAGGATATGGAGAAAACAAACTATTGCACAGTTTAGGGGAGTGTAAATCAGCACAACTATTATGAATAACATGTGGAAATGCCTTCCAATCCCATGCTCAGAGATCATGGGGTACTGAGTATCTGCCTTGGTATGCTTATCACTGTTTTCAACACCCATTTTTCTGACTCATTAGAAGATCTATGATAGGAGAGGCTATGGAGATCTTTTTGTTCTTACAATGACAGTAGCTTGCGTGTTACCTGGCATAAACTGATATGAATCAAATATGTGTCAGGTGAATATGATAAAGGCATTTCTACTGAAGAACAGGGAAGAGCAAACACACAAAATAGAAAGGAAGACTGTGAACAAAGGATAGAGACAGCCTGAAAACATGCAGCTCAGCTGCCACTCAATGTAACAGACACACAGATTCCAGAAGGAGTGAAAACTAAAACTTTAAGCCCAGACATTCCTTGAGGGGTTTTAAATAGGTAGATTTTAACACTGTCTTATCTGCATTTGACATAAATAGTGGTGGCAGCAGAGAGAAGAATGATTTAAAGATAGGCTAGCTGGAAGTCTTTTTACTGCCAGAGACAGAAACTTGGCTTGAGTGTCAGTGAAGGGAGAGATATTTTTATCAGGATAGTGAAACTTCTCACAGAAGTCAAGAAGAGGAAAATGACTGCTGTAAGAATACCCTGAAATCTTGGCAGATGAGGCCCTCTGAAAGAGGTCATTTTTACTGGAGTACTATAGCAGGAGAGCTTTTCAGTAGCCTGCAGCAGCATCAAGATGCTAGAGATACTGCTTTGGCAAAGCGTGTGAAATCTAAGAGAAAGCGTGTGAAATCTAAGAGCCACTTAGAGAAGAGAAATGTGATAGAGGAGAACTCAGAATGGCTTTATCTTCTTCACATTTTCCTACAACTAGCCCTGCTGAGAAGAATCTAAGTTCCAACTGAAGCCAGTTGGAAGATAAGAGGCAGCTTTAAATCTGTTCTTTCTAGGAGAAGCATTCCTCTACAACTCCACTGCTTAAATATTTAATTAACAATTTTTGTTAAATATATTTCTGCAATATTTTAGATTTTCTAGAGCTGCTTGTGTGAACAGACACTATTTATGTTTGATTTGATTTTTTTCAGATTTTCTCCATATCTGACTTAAACACCCACATGGTGGCTAACAACCATCCATAACTCCAGTTCCAGGGGAATCTAATGCCCTCTTCTGACCTCCACAGGCATTGCACAATATGGGTACACTTACATTCATACAGACAACACACTCATACACATAAAATAAATAATAAATATTTTAAAAAGAATAATAAAAGTAAGGCTGAGATAGACATCAGTGCTAATTCTCAGTTAGAAATAGACACAGTCAAGAGAATGGTTTTGGAAGCTTGTGTGGAGATTTCTCAAGAGTGTGCCTAAGTGAGATGTTGCAATTCTTGCGACATGTAGTTTATCATTAAGCAAAAGTAGTGCTATTTCCCAAACATAGAAAAAGCTATAACTTTTTTAAATAAAAGAATGGGCTGGTCTTAAATTCTGTTACAAACATTAATGGGAAATAAATCTAAATATATCTTTGAAAGATCTAATTATCTGAACATGACTGAAATAAAGTATATGTATATTATAATCTTGAAATGAAAAATATGAAATACAATAGTGTAGTAGCAAATATACTGATTGATGTGTTCTTAGTAGTCTTTGAACTTTTGGAAATTCATTTCTAAATACTTTGAAGTTAAAAATAAAACTTATGTTAAAATTAACTTGCAAAGTTTGATGGAGGTGCTACAAAGGGAAAGAGAAAATTTGGAGATTTGTCTTAGACATGAAATTGATCATTAAATAAAACATAGCTGGCACTTGAGCAGAAAGCTATCCTCCACATCATCTCCAGCAATATTTACAGACTTCAATAACCTCCTTTGCTGTATGATTTTCCATTGGCTTCACAGAAATATTTCCTATTTAATCATATCTTTTCCAATTAGGTGGACTCCATTTTGTGAACCTAACACTCATACACTTTCCAAATGGTCAGATGATCTGACTGAAAACATAATTGTTTACTGTGGTTTGAGATGTCACTGGACTCTGCCTGCACAGTTAATCTTTAGCTACTGAATTGATTGATAACAGAATTCTCAAGCATCTGTCTTTAAGACCCCCGAAGTAGGGTTGTATTTAAAATATCCCATTGAAGTCTAGGTTTCAGTGAATCCTATGACCTTCTGAGGCATTTTAAATATGGAGTGCCTGAGAGAGAAAGCGGCAGTAGCTAGAATAAAAGTAGCCAGCAGCATTAATGTATATGAACACATATCAGATGTCATAGTAAGCTCCGCACATGGGTTGTTTTAACTGGACAGCAATTGTTTGACAAAAGCATTAAGAATTATTATCACATTTCCCATGGAAAATGAAGCTTAGTGAACAGAAATGAATTTCATAAGGTTATGTAGCAATAAGAGCTGGGTGAAAATCTGATTCCAGAGCCTGTTTATGGAACCCACACCTGACCTTTCACTTTCAATAAAAGATCCCTACCTGGCCCTCTTAGACAAGCTATAGAATCTACCTGGGTGTCGATTCTCTTTTCTATTAAGTGAAGATACTAGAGTTCGTGTCCTAAGGCCAGTGCGAGTTCTCAAGTCCTACTATCCTAATATACCAGCAGTGTGGTAGTAGAGGGATTCTTATTCATCTGTAGGGAGCCTGAGCTTTACCAGGAGCTTATTATAATTGAGGGGGAGTCACTCAGGCTCCCAGTTTATTGTCCTCACCTCAAAGCCTATTCTAAGCATATGTTCAAGGGCCTTAGAAAGGATGACATAGGATATAAATACAAAGCACAAGCTCCCATCCCAAAATTGTAGTGCTGAATTCATGGATTTAAGGAATTACCATGAATTAGCTGGCTTATCACTTTTATTGTCTAAAACATCTGGTCTGTGATATTTTCAGGAAATGCTTATTTGTGGTAGACTTAGAGAACAGGAGGGAGAAAATAGGAGATAAAAGAGAAGTAGCACACCCTCAATTTTCTATTAATACATTAAAAATGGTAGGGACCATTCAGAAGATACATAGCCCTATAAAGAAGGGACACATGCCCCTCACTAATGCATTAAATCAACTATAATGGAAAAACTGCAGTGGAAAACTATCGATATACATTGGCTCTTTGGCAGTGACAAAGTTAATGATTAAAATCTCCCACATTTTCCACCGCATTATCCTCAGGGTATCTATTTGTCTTGATGATGATATTATTTTCTCTCTGTGGGGGCAAGGACGACTGTCCCTTCCTTCTGTGTTGAGATTAATAATTGATGAGCTCCTAGTCAAGAGTGTTTGTAAAGGCCCCTGGTAGCTTTGTACTTCCTTTCTCTTACATGCTGACCTGGGGGCCTCAGGAGGTGCTGCAGGATTCCCTGGTGGAAAAATGAAGAGGATCCTGGTTCTCCTGCTTGCCTTAGCACTTGGGCATGCTCTAGAGAGAGGTAAGGTGCCCTTGTGACCATCTCTAAGAACTATTATTGATTTAATTTTCTATTATCGCTTTAAAATTACATAGGTATTAACAAACAGAATTCTGACTACATTGGGAGAGAGAAGGATGGATCCAAGAGGAATTAATCTGAGCTCAGCTGTGCCATATAACATTGAAAAGTAATAACCTCCAACACAATAAAAATAAGAGTCTCATGAAAGACAGAGCCAGGTATGATGGGCACACCTGTAATCTCAGAATGCAGGAGAGGGAAGCAAGATCAAGAGTTTGAGGCCTCATAGTCAGTTGTCTGAGGCCAGTCAGAGCTACATGATACACTGTCTCAAAACGAATAAAGACGAACAAAAATGGAGTTATGTAATTTTTCAATTATCCCTCATATATTTGATACGTGAGATCCAAAAAGAACAGCTTGGAATTGGATATTTGCTATTAAAAGGCTATGCAACTGGACTCTGACCTACCACTGATCATTTTTCCAAATGTTTGTCCCCACTGAGAGCATCATTTACTGTCAGTGGTGCAGGAAGTCAATTGAACAATTTCTTTACTCCACCTTATTTGTAAATGCATTCAAGTGTTTAAAATACAACTCACAGGGGCTAGAGAGATGGCTCGGCGGTTAAGAGCACTGACTGCTCTTGCAGAGGACCCAGGTTCGATTCCCAGCACCCACATGACAGCTATGAACCATCCTTAACTCCAGTTCCAGGGGACTCTGAAGCCCTCTTCTGACCACCATGACGTTGCATGACACAGATGCACTCACATACATGCAGGCAATACACTCATACACATAAAATAAAAACAATAGATGAAATATTTTTAAATACAAATAATATTAAATAAGAATATTCTATATCTATGAACTATAACCATAAATGAGTGATGCTTTTCATTGAAATCATTTTTTGAATAGTATATTCATCTTTAAGCAATGTTTAAAAGACTTTGTTAACTGAAGATACATAATGTATACAACTGTCTAAATTCTACAGCTTGCAGGCTTTTCATAGATGTTTCAATTTACTTTCCTGTTGGTTTTTAACCCTATTTTAACTCTGTATTGCACAGTTTACTACCTTATAAATTAAATTATCCTATGAATAGTCTTTTCCTCTGGTCTATGAGCGAATCTGCACACACCCTATTGTAAAATTAAGATTTTCATTTTGTGCTCTCCCTTAGCAACCTCATCCAAGTCATGAATTTACACCCATAGTAGGAACACATTTAACCAGTGGGATGTGCATTCCCAGGAATTATCACTTATTAATGATGGCATGCATAGACTCAGTATAGACTTTATCTCATTCTTTCTGCATTTACTTTTTTTATGTCATATGTCATTTTTGTTATCCAAAGTACTTTATATTCTATCTTACTCATGACTAAGCTCTAAGTCCTTATGTAAGACCACAAAATCGTAGATAAAATGGGTATTAATAAGTGAAATAGAGTATGTAGGTGACATCTCAGGAAATTCTGAAAGCTTACTTCTTTGCAGCAGCATTTCTGTGGATACTACTGAACCCGAGAAACCCCACTAAAGCTAGTTCAGATCAGAATCTTCATGAATCAAAATTCTAGCAGTAGCTAGGCCTTGGAAATGGCCTGCAAGCTGAGAAGAGGCTCCACACTGTACTGCTGACTCGCAGGTGTCCACTGGCTTCACCCCAGAATTGCAAATGTACTCTGGGAACAGGGCATTCTGCAATCTCTGTTTCAACATTCTGGACAGTCTTAGTCCCAGAGGAGATGAGTATCTCAACTTCAGTCCTATTTCCCAGGTTCCATGATAGCCTCAGAGACATAAAATAAATTTACAAGGAATAAACACCCAGTTTTGGTAGGAGACATTTGATCCATGAGTCTGAGTTCTCTGTCCTGTAATACCTGAGCATGACCTGTAGACCCAGTCTATGATTTTCATGGAGGCTCAGAATGTTCTCTCCTGGTCCAAAGTGACAGAATGCTACAGGAGTGCAGTCAGCCCTCAGGTTAAGAATATCCATAGAGGGTGAGAAATTGGTTTGGAATGAAGTTCTTTCTGCCTGTTATATTCCTAGAGACCTGATAAACCACAGCCTTTTCTGAAACACTGTTCCAAAGACCCCTCACTCAAGACTAACCTTTAAAAGTGTTTCTATGGCCAAGATATTTGAGAAATTAGCCATTTATTACTCCTTCTTAGAGTTTCACAATCCATGCCTTCATTGTCCTAAAAGCTTTGATAACTCCTACAAGAAATCCTCTTTAAATAAATTTCCCACGCATAGGGACTCCTGGGTACTTGTACTTATGGAGCTGTCTTTGAAAACTCTAGGTCTAAAATGAACCCTGTTGCTCCCAACACAAACCTTGGCTCTGATTTTCCCAGTTCTTTCCTATTAAAGGGCATTTGGGAACCAGGTACATCTTGTGGGAAATGGACTTATTAATATGCTATATATGGATGGTATCATAAACAGCTATTTCTGCTGGCTGGGAAGCACAAAGCGGTAGCCCTTGTTGGTTAGATCTATGCTCTTCTTTCCTAAGCACTGAAATAGAGCCAGCAGGAACGTACACTGTATCTTCCTTCTTACTCACGCCCCTCCTCTAGCACCAAACTAAGTAACAAGAATAGTTGTTGCAGCTTCACAATTACTAAAGAAACAATGCCAACAGGAAATAAACAGCTATACATCTTTAAATGTTCTGCATATATATTTTTTATTAAACATAATACTAAACTGCAAAAAGAAAGTTCCTTTGTGCTGATAGGTAGACTATATTTTCTCTTCCTCCTCCTCTTTACCAAACAGCCCTCCAAAAGTACTCCAGTTAGCGAAGTAGCTAATGTATCGATACTAACCTCCTTGAAAATCAATAGCACTGTCACAGTTCATTGCTACAAGGTACAATGCCAGGTATATAGTCACCATTATGTATGTGGTGTAAGAATAAGTTTGTACATCCTTTAAAAGGACCATGAGTTCAATCTATGTGGGAAGAAGACAAAGAAGTCCCTAAGAATACCTGAAGAAGCTCTTGCTCCGCTTTCTGTGTTCATCTAATTGTATTTTTCCAACTGTCTCCATCGTACTTCTTCCATTCACTCTTCTCCAGCTACAGGGGCCTCCACATCCCACACAACATATCCTCTGGACCCTAGAGCTTTTTACAAACTTTTCCATCTCCTTGGAACACTGATCCTCCAGATATCCAGATGGCTACTTTCCTCACATCTTTCAGCTGTCTGAACCATGCCTGCTTAGTTATCACTGACAACTCCTGACTCCCATTCCCTTATCCTGGCTCATTTTCCTTCTAAGCGCTTACTACCTTACCTTCTCTCCAGCTGTATATTTGATTATTATAACAAATATAGAGTTATCACAGAATAAAGGACTATATTTGCTGTCTACTATAATTTCCAGTTTTAGAACACCGCTTAGGAGGCATTAAATGTTTAATAAGATTTTTGCATAATACCACAGTTAAAGTATCAACCTCAAAATGTAGTCTTGAGTAGTACAGGGGAATTAAAGGCCAAATATGATGATAGTTCATGTTGTAATCACTGTATCTTGGAACTGTGCTTGGAAGGCTGGGGTAGGATGATGCTGGGAATTGAGGCTAACCTATCTTGGACGAGAGAAAGAGAGAGAGAGAGAGAGAGAGAGAGAGAGAGAGAGAGAGAAAGGGAAGGAAGGAAGGAAGGAAGGAAGGAAAAAAAGGATAGAGGAGAAGAGGGGAAGAGGGAGGGAGGGAAGAGGAAGGGAGGGAGGGGGAAGGAAGGGAAGAGGAAATTAAATGTTAATGAGGAATTGATATTCTAGAAGAGTAAAGTTCACAAATGTCTATAATTGTAATTTTTATTATGATTATTATATGAAGCATTGGGACTAAGATTTATGCTCTAAATAAAGTTAGTAAGTACTATTTTGTTAAAATGTGCCAGCATGGAGCTGGGGAATTGGTTCAGTGATTAAGAGCACTGGCTGCTCTTGTAGAGGACCCAGGTTCAATTCCCAGCACCTACATGGTAGCTAATAACTGTCTGTAACTCCAGTTCCAGGGGATCCAATGCCCTCTCCTGACCTCTGCAAGCATTGCATGACACAAGTGCACTTACCCACATGCAGGCAATACACTCATACATATAAAATAAAAATAAGTAAAATTTTAAAAATGGCCAGCATGTACAAAATCTTTTAAATAAATTTATTTCATCCTTACAATACCACAATGAGCTCAGTACCATTATTAGCCCCATTTGACAGGAAAAATAGGAGTTAAGTGGCTTATCCACAGTATCTGGGCTAGTAATAGTAGAATTAGAATTTTAGAACAAGAGGTTGGGTTCCAGAGCTAACGCTCCCAATCACCACTTTACTGCCTCTCACAAAACAGATCCTAAACAAGAAAGACATGTAAGACACACATAACTGATCACTGACACCATTTTCTGGGAGTTAGTGAAATGCATCTTGCTTTCTGCATCCCTTCATCCAGAGCATCATCTGCCCATGACACTGGCTCTGACTCCCAGCTCCATTTACTTTCCTGGTTACCATCATACCGCAATCATTCACCCAATCCTTTAGAATCACCTTGAATTTGATTTTATTTATGTTCTTCATATTAACCATATTAACTCATTTTTACAACCTATAAACTTCAGGCCTGAAGTAGATTAGCCCTGCACAAGCACTGAATTGTTGAAATCTCCACAGCAGACTGGCTTTGCCTTCATTACTCCCATTACAAGTTTCATTGCCAAGGAGACTGCCTCTCGTACACATTTAGATTCCCTGAGCCTGTTCTTACCCAGACCTATCTCCTCTTCTGGCCATTGATATGGCTTCCTAAGCAGTTCCAGACATCCAAATCAGATCATATGAATAGACACAATAGGCTAGCATGCTACTTATCTGTAATCCCAGCACTTAGGAAACTGAGGTAGGATGACTGCAAGTTCAAGGCCAGCCTGGGCTATATTCAGAGTTCCAGGCCAGCCTAGGGTATACAACGAGACTTCTCTCATCTTTAAAATGTAATAAGATTCCTGATATAATGTGATAAATGAAGTCCAAAAATAAAAGAGCCATGGGACATGTACAGTATAAACACACACACACACACACACACACACACACACACACGGTGAACTGTGTATTTTCTAACTTCTGTGGGCATTTGAGTTTGGTATCCTTAGTTTTTTGGTACAAATTTGAGATTGAGTCCTACCTTAAGAAAAAGAGTATCCTTCATTTTTAAAAAATGGGCAAAATAATTGACCATTTATGTCATAGATATGCAAAATTTTCTATGGATCCTCTAGCTATGTTTGCATTTAACAATGATACTTTTCTTTCTAGAGATATAAAATGTGATCACACTTTTATATTGAAATTATTGTAACCTTGGTGTTAAAAACAAAAATAAAATAGCAAGAGTGATCTTGAGACAATAGCCTTTTTTTAAATCTTTTTGAGACAGAGTGTCTCTGTAGCCCCAGATGGCCTAGAACTTGCTATGTAGACCAGGTTGGCCTTGAACTCATGGAGATCTGCCTGCCTCTGCCTCCCAAGTGCTGGGATTAAAAGCATGCTCCACCATGCCTGCCAACGCAATATAGTCTTAAAATGACATTATGAAAGTAAATTCATGACTTTGTATTTTATTGATCCTTTCACAAATATTGGCCAGAAATTGGTTTTAAAAGGAAAGTATTTTCATATGAAAAGTACATACAATTTTTAATTTTAATTTTATTTTATTTCATCTTGTAGTGCTGGGGATTGAGCCCATGGCTTCACACATACTAGGCAAACATTCTATCACTCCTACATCCCCAGATCATAGATTTAAAAAGATATATTTTATTTTTTTTATTTTATGTGTATGAGTGTATTGCCTGACTGTAAGAAGGTGCACCGTATTGTGCAGTGTCCAAGGAAGTGAGACGAGGGCATTGAATACCCTGGAACTGGAGTTACTAACAGTTGTTAGCCGTTATGTGGGTGCTGGGAATTGAACCTGGGTCCTCTGCAAGAGCAGTCAGTACTCTTAACCACTGAGCCATCTCTCTAGCCTCCCCAGACAATAGATTTTTAAAAACATGAATAAAATACATTAATTTCTGACCATGTTAATATGGAAGGTTGTTTCTTTTTACTTTTCTTAGCAAATATGTCTAATCAATATAATTATAGTGCAACTGGAATTTAATAGCTAATATATCTCTTAAAAGACAGTGGAATTTCATTTTCTACTTATATGATACTGGGAAAGCTCATTGCTAATTTATTTGTTTAAAAAGCTCTCTTTAGCTTTATCAAGATAAATGGAGTGCTATAAAGAAGCATTTAAAACAATCTGCTACAATGCTTAGCCCAAAGAATTACTGGATGCTTAATATTTCTGAAATGTCCCATTTAAATTCAGATCTCATATATGTTCTCTAATGAGTCTTCAGTTTCTCACCAGGACTAGGTAAGAAAATTAGAAAATTGCATTTCATTCAGAAAATAAAAATCCTGCTAGCCCATAAACATAACACATAATTACTATAGAATTGTTTGGGGTTTATTAAAGTTTTTGAAACATTTAATCATAAAGAAATGATAAATGTTAGAGAAGATAGATAATTTGAAAAGATTTAAACATTGTATAATGCTTATATGTATAATGCTTATAGTAATCTACTGGGAAAATAAAAAATTAAGGAACAATTGATATACCTAATTTTTATTGCTATAAGAAGAATAATTGCTAATCTGTAAGAGGATTTTTTATATATTAATGAAATGTATCATAATCTGCGATTAAAATTCATTTAAATAGTTCAGAAAATCTGCTTCACAAAATCAGACAATGTCAGACATTAGACAAAATCTGCTTCATAAAATAATGACACATAAAATATAGACTTGCCTTGCCTTTAGATTTCTTTATTTCTTATAATATGATAACCTTAATAACTGCTTAGAGCTGCATATTAATAGGAAATAGTGAAAGAAAATAACCTATATTCAGTGTTTTGTGAAGTTCAAAAATTATTTTAAGTTGATAATTGTAATTATATATATTTATGGAAGATGATATAATGTTTACACAAGAGAGAGAGATATCTGAATTTGTTACCACAGTTTTCCCAGGCATAGAATCAGACTCTCAGTCTAAACATTAGTCTGTAAAAGAAAAAAACAACATAGTATATATAAAAATGGAAAAATGAATTTATTTACAGTTCTGGCAAGAGCTAGGGAGGAAGAAGTTCTTCCTATCTCTATCTTGCCCAAAGCAGTGAGTGTTACCATGTATAGAAAACTTGAAATTGGGGCAAGAATTATAAACATGTCAATTTAACTGTTTGTTTCAGATAAAAGAACTGGGCAGCAAGTCTTTCTCTTAGAAGTCTTAAGACTTGGACTATTGGGCTTGGTCGTTTTCATGACCAGCATGGTTTTCTTATGGTTCCTAATTCATAGGCTCTCTTACAGGACGACCAAATCAAGGCAATGAATACACTGCTTATTTCACCTGCTTAATCAATTTTTTGATGTAATTTACTGTTATTTTGAAATATACAACACATAGTTTCTCAATATAGTCACTTTGATTCTAACTAAGCTTTATACCCTTTGACCAGCAACTCCATCCCACCCCTTCAACCTGCAGCCTCTAATAACCATCACTCTGCTCTCTTCTTCTATGACTTTGACTTTTAAGCATCCATGTAGAGGCTCATGTGGCATCTCTCTTTCTGTCCCTATTTGTACTTAATATAATAAATTCCGGTATTGTGCACTGCTAATTAACAGAATTTCCGTCTTTTGTAAGGTTGAATAATAGTCAATTGTATATCAATTTATTTTCCATTCCTCCACTGAAAGATACTTGGGTTATTTTAATATCTTAGTTCTTGTTAACAATGTTGCTGCAGTGAAAATGGAAACTCAGAGATTCCCAACAACTTTTGACATCAATGTCTTTGATTATATATTCAGTAGTACTTCTAGATCATACAGTACAATAGTTCTATTTTAAGTATTTTAGGACTCTATACTATTTACCATAATGGCTAATCTAAGGCATATTCTTTCTAACAGTTTATGAGGGATTTTATTAAAAGAAGTTGTTTTATATTAGACACATTTTTATGGCTTAAAATACTAGAGCTTGGGAGGAAAGGCTCCAAGAAGCCTGTTACTATCTGTACATTGGACGAGGTTTTGAGCCATGGGAAGTGAACTTAAAGATCATGAGGACAATCCCATACTAAATTTTGGCATTTTAAATATATATGGTTATGTAACACATTGCAATATTTCTGTTGACAATGCAAACTTGTTTATTCAAAATGTTATTATTTCAGTTATTCATTACTAAGCTTAAAAGTTTTTTATATTGAATTAAATTATACCATTCTATAACTGCCAAGCATTTTCCCAACTCTATTTTGGGAATAAGATAAAACAACTTTGTTGACATCCTGATATATAGGTCTTTTCTAAATGAAAACAGTTGTAAGCTATATTCTTTCCCTCTATGTTCCAATTTCCAGTCTCATTGACTCCCATTGATGATTAATGAAGATTTTATGTCTTACTTTGACCTTTTTAACTTGCCAAATATCTAACCTTGTAAACTAACCAATGCATTTTGGGATGTGTACTAGATGTGAAGTTTCTCAGAGACTGGACAGAGGGTGGGTGCCAGTGGTCTTTTGTATCCCACTGGCCACTGGCTTTACCCATCATTACCTTGTTCCAGTTTTGGGGACATTGTCAAATGGGAATTTGTGAGTTTTTGTCTACCTTGAATGAAATTTTTATGGTATAAGAATTGTACTTTTAATACAAAATGCAGCTTAATATTGTTTTTATTTTTGGAAGGCTGAGAGAAAGATAATGAGTTTGAGGGCAGCCTGGGCTATGAAGAAAGTAAAAGAAAAGTCTCAAAGAAAAAGAAGATTTTTGTCTTCTCTCAATTCTGATCTTTCTTACTCAATAAATAAATCTTTGTGCTGCACATCTGAAAAATATATAGCACAACAGCTATCCGTACACATTTTTCATCATAAATTAGTCTTAAAAAAACTTTTAAAAAATGTTTCCCAAATTTGTATCCAACCATAACCACCTCAACTCTACAAATCAAAAAAAGAAAGAAAATGTCTTTACTACATACATATTGATGATCACATTATACACACACATTTCATGTAATATTCATAAAGAGGAAAAAGACACTTATTTTCTATTTTACTTCCTAGGCCGAGACTATGAAAAGGATAAAGTCTGCAAGGAACTTGCCTTTTTGGGAAACGATGACTTCAGATCTTTGTAAGTGGGCAGTATCCACGCAGTTGTCTTGGGTACTTGACCTTGAACAAACCTGAATACAAGCTAACTTCTACATAGTACAAAGGTTGAACTGGTCTCTGGGAGGATAAGGAAAGAGCCTCGGGTCATTGTGGGCAGACATGTCAAACGGATGAGCCAGAGGCTCCATCAAGTATGCTTACTGTGGGCTACAAAATTGTCGCTGGTAAATTTATACATGGGTTTGTAGAGAGTAAATATAGTTTTCAGCTATAAATTAATATAGGATAGTATAGTTTAGGACTCTGGAAAACACAATCAATGATCTATAGAATAAGTTCTTTGGGGGAAGCTCAAAACAAACCAGGCTGGCTTGATGGGAACTCCAAGTCCTGTTACTATTGTATACAAGATAAATTTCCCTAGAACAAATGTTTTATGTTTGATCTCATATTATTTCTATTAGTCAAATAAAAAAGTTAATTTATGAAGTACTCCATCTAAAAACTGAATAGACCTCATAGTTTAATGTGTGCCAAAATGAGAAAAACAATTACACTCTAATATAATCACTTGTTTCTCCCTTCAGATCACTAATACTATACAGCAGAAAGTTTTCCAGTGGTACATTTGAACAGGTCAGCCAGCTGGTGAATGAAGTGGTCTCCTTGACTGAAGACTGCTGTGCTGAAGGGGCTGACCCCACCTGCTATGACACCAGGGTAAGTGTGTGTCTGGCCATCTCTACAATGGTCCAGAGAAGGGAACCACCATAGAGCTTCATGCCACCTCTTTGGAACATTCTAGATGCCAATCCACCTACTCTGAGTTGGGAAATATGAAGCCTGTTATTTTTAGTTTCCACATTTGTTCTAAAACCCCATCCATTTTACTCATTATTGCTTCAAGGTTCAAAAGAGAAATTTGGGATACAGTAACTTAGTGACTTCCTAAATATATACTGCTAGTGCAAAGTACGTATAGGATTTAAATCCAGGTCTAACTCTGTTTTTAATCCCTTAAATTTGAAACTCATAAATATCAATTCATGAACCTCTTAAAATAATTTTAACACATACTACATAGCTTAAAAGCCTGGCTATACCTATATTACCATGTAAGAGCTAGAATTAATGGCCCCAGAATAACTAAATGTTGGCCTCAAATTCTTTGGATGGCTCCAAAATTGCTATGTACATAGAATGTGTGTATATATATATATGTTAGGTTGTGGGTGAAAAACAAATATGCACACCACATATATGTTAGAGTAGCAAATAGCCCCATACGATTAATTTCTCAAGACTATAAAAGCTCTAGTCTATCTGTTAAAAGACTCACATTTCCAGTTTCACTGGCAATCACCTGGTCATAGGGCCATCCCTAGGAAGGCAGGTTCCCCTAAGGTTATGCTAAATAGATAGGTAGAATGCCTAGTGCATTAATGAGGTAGTGAACTTTTCCTGCCTGGAATCCCACTTTCTAGCACACAGACACATAACTCTCTAGAAATCTTCCTGCTTTTCTGACCGCCTCAGAAAAACATAATCTCTGCTTTTCTTCTTCATATCCCTTTTCTTTAAGGCTTTGGGCTGCCCTAGCATCTTGCATTTCTTTACTTTTTCTCTAAAGCTACCTTCTCCCAGCCATGTGGCTTCCAGTCAGCCATGTGTCTGACCTCCATGCAGGCTCTAAACCTGCATGGCTTCAAGGCTTGTTTTCTTTCTCCCCTCCATTCTCTTCCTCAAGGCAGCTGCCAAGATTACCAGCTCGTCTTCCCCGAGAATTTTTTGTTAATATTTGAATAAAAGTGTCCTGAAGCTTCCATTTGGGTCCATTCTTAAATTCTTTTATGAATGAGACTTAGAACCCTCTAGGGGATGCTCTTTATACCCTGTTATCAATTATCCCTTAAAACATACTCAAAGGTAGAATGAAAAAGACCAAGTTATTTTCTCTTTTTTAATAATGGAGTTCAAAATACAGTAACAGAAGAGTTGGAAACTAAGTAGACACAAAATTCCTAAACTTTTACTAATGCAGCCATCAGCTCATATTGAGATGACAGGTTTTATTGGCTAAAGCCCTCCACAGAGAGACCAGTATCGCTGCTCAAGCCTGCTATTGGAATACATTATATACAGTGAATATTCTTACCCATTAATTGCTTTATTCACCCTTATTAACCCTTTATAATCATCTTCTTTCACCACCAAATTCATCTCTGTTGATCATTTCACCTGACTCTATACCACCTCAGTCTGAATGTGCTTCAAACTGTCAACCATGATCAAAACAAAGCACATCCTCTATTTCAATTTTGTTCCCTGTGTTTCCTGATGCACGTCTTGACTGAGACGTGACCTAGCTCCATAATCCTGGAGCTTGAATACTTTGCACAACACTTTTCTCCTGCTCATTCCAAGTATACATTTTTAATTTGCTAATATTTTTCTAATTTCTATTGTTATTTGGGAATGATTGAAAACAGATAAAGCCAGAATAATTTCTGGAGAAATAAATAAAAAGGAAAAGGAGACTGGTTGGAAAGAGAGATGCAACTTTTAAAAGGCAGCCTAATTCTTAAGTTCTAAGAGTCATGGAAGGGAGCTATGTTGAGGTCATGATGAGGGGTTGGGTTAAATAACTCATTCTGCATATTGCTTTCCTTTAGTGTTAGGAATGGTCTTTAGAAGTTTTACTTTAAAATTATAATTAAAACATACATCAAATTGTTTTGCCCCACATAAATACCAAAGTGATTTTCCATGACAGTTTCTACTTATTTCTCTCTTTGATGTCTATTCTTCTATATTAGCTTATCTGAAGCATCAATTACATCTGAAAAAAAAAATTGTTTCTACAGTTGCTTTGGCTGCGCTCTGTCCTTCAGCAAGTGTGAGTGTGGCAGTGCTGGGGCTATACTGACAGCACACCAGTGCTTTCCAATTTAGGGAAACTTTCTGAAATTTAGAGAAAAACAGATTTTTATTCTCTGTCTTTGACCTAGTCTGCAGCCCAGGAGTTTGTTTTTCTAGGCCAGATGCCAAATTCTGATGCCAAAGCATGCCACAGCAATGGCAGATTAACTTTAACAATGCAGACACTTGAAGTGGCCAAGGGTCAAGAGGCTGCTCTTAAGTAAAGGGAGGAGAGTAGGTGGCTGGGGAGGTGGGGGTCCTCCTTTGTTCTAACTGCAAAAAGCAGATGGGAGATGAAAGCAGAATCCCCAGCAGAGCTTTCCCAAACAATCCTCTCCTCAGAGATGCTACAATCACCCACGGAGAAACAAGAGGCTATGAGATAAAATTCACTCATTCAGATAAACTTAGTCTACTTATTAATGAAAGTTGGTTTGGTTCTATTCTGATGACTGCCATTTATTAACATAACCAACTTGCCTATAACTAAAATTATACAATTTTTCATGTTCATAAGCCATCTCATGGAGCCTTGGCAGGGACACTTAGTAACAAAAGTTTAAGGCTATAAATTACATGCTATACTGATGGAAACTGACATAGACTATAAGGCTTTACTTTTATCCTTCTTTCATGCCAGACCTCAGCACTGTCCGTCAAGTCCTGCGAAAGTGACTCCCCTTTCCCAGTGCACCCCGGAACCCCTGAGTGTTGCACTAAGGAGGGCCTGGAGCGGAAACTTTGCATGGCTGCCCTGAAACACCAGCCACGAGAATTTCCTACTTATGTGGAACCAGCAAACGATGAGATTTGTGAGGCATTCAGAAAAGATCCAAAGGGATTTGCTAATCAGTAAGTGGTCTTCATTACAAGTCAAACTGTAGGGCCTGAAAATACCTAAAATGAATCTAGTCAAGTCCTTATCCTATTCAGACACCTTTTTTATAGCAACTCAGATAATTACCAATATGGGAATTGGTCTTCACCCACTCTCCCAAGCTCCTACTCCCTAGCCTTGAGAATCTTCTATCTGTGGAATTCTTTTTCCATGTGGCTTACTTTCATACTTGGCAATCCCAATGATAATTCCCCTTATACTAGGTAGTCTTGTATCCCCTGTGTGATGGAAGCAATTTTATTACTGTGCACATTTTACAATAATTTCCAATAAAGCACAAAAATAAATGGTTTTCAAACCTATATATCTTCAGAAACAGCTGTGGACACAACGCTGTACTATAAAATGAACATGTAGGCTAGGCGTGGTGGCACACACCTTTAGTCCCAGCACTTGGGAGGCAGAGGCTGGTAGAGCTTTGTGAGTTCAAGGCCAGCCTGGTCTACATAGTGAGTTCAGGTCAGCTAGGACTACAGGGAGACCCTGTCTCAAAAATACGAAAAAAAAAAAAAAAAGAACACGGACTTTATTGTTCATATTGCATGAGACACCAGGTTAGACTGATTAGGTTCATCTTGTAAGGGTATAAAATGCATTGGACATGGCTGTATGTGCCTGGAATCCTTGGGGAATTGCACTGGACATAGATGGGAGGATTGCTGCAAGTTCCAGACCAGCCAGGGCTACATGGCGAGACTCTGCCTCCAAAAGCATTTTTCTTTTTTGAGTCAGTGTTGGCCTGGCTTTAATCCCAGTAGGTAGATCTCTGTGATACCAAGTCTAGCCTGGTCTATGGTGAGTTCTAGGCCAGCTGGGGCTACAGATAAACCCTGTCTTCAAAGAAAAAAGGACAAAAAATAAGGAAAAGACAACTCATGAAAATAAAAAATAATAATTATGCAATGATAAAGGTAGTGACATTAAAATTATTCATAATTTCATAAATATTGGTTGTTTTTTTATCCATTTCTGTTACTTGTCAAAGATTTTGTTCAATATTTAAGAATGTCTTTTAGATCCTCAGAGACTTGTGTTCTTAAAATCTAAAGTGATTACTCTTGTCAAGCAAGTTACCGCTACATAGGAGCTATCTAGGATAGTACACTGAGATAGGTAATAAAACGCACACCCACTAATGACATTTGCTATCGCATCCATTCAACAAACAGCTCACCAAGCAGCTACCATAGGTTATGCACTTGGCTAGCACTAAGTGAATGAAAGAAAAAAGTGGTCTCTCCCTTTAAGAAAATCACATGGGAATTAAAGAATCTGTTTTTCAAAATGAATCTATTACTTGAAATATACCAACATTATTATTTAAATGCTTAGTGCTTTTCAGACATTAAAATTATGAACTAATGGGCTTTGGCAGCAGCTTAGTAGGTAAAGTGCTTGCTATACAATCATAAGGACCTGGATTCAGATCCCCAGCACCCATGTGCTGGAGTGGGGTAAAGGCAGGCAGATCTCTGGGGCTTGATGCTTAACTATTCTAACCAAAATGGAAAACTCCAGGTTTGGTGAGAGACCCTGTCTCAAAAAATAATGTGGAGCACAATAGATAAAAATAACTGACATTTACCTTTAGCCTACACACACTTATGCACACATAATATATATATATATGTGTGTATAATATATACATATATATATTACATACACATACTCTGTATATATAGGCATACACATTTATGTAAACGAATATGATATGCATCCTTTCTTCATCAAAATACTTATATAAGCTCAGTTTTATTTTCCAACAATCTTTTAATCAATCCTATTTTCTCCCTCAGATTTCTATATGAATATTCCAGTAATTATGGACAAGCTCCTATGCCACTTTTAGTTGGTTACACCAGGAGTTACCTCTCTATGGTTGGGTCCTGCTGTACCTCTGCTAGCCCAACTGCATGCTTTTTGAAGGAGGTAAGTTCACTTTACTTACTATAGTTACATGCTATATTTCCTTCTTAAAATGGCATTTCTTTAAAATTATGTTGAAAGTTGAGATTTTGTAATTAGTAAAAGTTTCTAATGGCTCTTTTGCATTTTGTTAATTAGAATATAATCATGCCCTTAGGGGGATATCAATATGTTACAATGGCCAGAGTTCAGTATTCTATTGATTTTAAAATGTATTAATCCCTCTCTTTATGCTATTTTGTGTACATGGTTTACCATTGACTTTTCTAATATTATTTTCCCCCTTTATTTTCCAGAGACTCCAGATTAAACACTTATCACTTCTTACCACTCTGTCAAACAGAGTCTGTTCACAATATGCTGCTTATGGAAAGGAGAAATCAAGGCTTAGGTAAAGATTTGGTACTGTCATCACAGTTAGAAGTTTGTTCCTGTGTTCTGTATCCTTAATATGTCTGTGAAAGAAGCTATAGAATACAGTCCAGTACAGAAACACCCAAACACTCAGGGACATTTCTTTCAGTCCTTCCTTCATTTTACTTTTACACTGAGAAGGTTATTTCACAAGCATAACATGGGATTTTATGATGTAATGCCATCATATATTAATTAATCATGGTGTCCATTGGCATTAGTGCCTAAGAATTAGGTAAAAAGGAGTAGCATTTTGTGTGAACAAAGATTAAGTTACAAAATATTGCTGCCATTTTTTTGGTTTTTTTGAGACAGGGTCTCCCTATAGCCCTAGCTGGCCTGGATTAGCTAAGGAGACCAGGCTGGCCTTGAACTCACAGAGATCTTCCTGCCTCTGCCTCTCGAGTGCTGGGATTAAAGGTGCGCGCCACCACAACCAGCCTGCTGCCATATTTTTAATGAAGAAAATTTTAGAGATTTCTAAATATTCCTAGAATATGAAATATAATCATAATGTACAATTTTAAAATATACTAATCAATGAAAAGTACAATACATTTCTTAAAGAAATCAAATAAACATAAAGACATCAGTTTAGAACCCTTAAAATGGTTAAAATGCCACAGTAGCCAAGTGAGGTGGTATACACCTACAATACCAGTACTTAGGAGGCTGAGGCAGGAGGATAGTCATGAGTTCAAGGCTAGTCTATGCTACATAGTGAGATCCAGACTGCCTGGGCTGCATATGAGACCTTATCCCAAAAAATAAATTAATAAACATTAAAAATAATAAATGAAATAAAATTTAGAACAAACTACATAGTCAATGCAATCTTTTAAGACCCTAATTACATTTTTTCCAAAAATACAAAAAAAAGTTTGTTAGTCAGCTTTCTACTACTGTAACAAATGGCTAAGGTAGTCAACCTATGAAGAGAAAAGGCATTATTTTGCCTTACAGTTCTTTAAATTCACACTTGGTTGACCCATTGCTTTGGCCTCTGGTGGCACACTGTGGAGGCACCATGTAGCAGAACAAACTGCTCATTTCTTAGCTGGAGGCAAATGACAAGAAGAGGAAAGGGGAGAAGTTCCACTATGCCCTTGGAAGGCCAACTCCCAATGACTTAAAGATCTCCAGGCAGGCCCAGCTCTGCTTCCACCACCTTCCAGAACCACCTCCAGAAATCAAGCACTTGATACATGGGCATCTGGAGGATATTTGAGATCCAAACTTAATCACCATTTTAAAATTAATAAGGTGTCATTAGAGGACCTCAAAGGACTCCAGATAGTCAAAACAGTCTTGAAAATGAGCAAAGGTGAGGCTGAAAAATGCCCTGATTTCAAAACTGCTACAATCATCATCATCATCATCATCATCATCATCATCATCATTATCATCGGCAGCGGCAGCAGCAGCAGCAGCAGCAGCAGCAGCAGCAGCAGCAGCAGCTGGTGTTATACTGACATGAAATGAGATATTTAGATTCATGGAACAGAATAGAGGGCTCAGAAATAAACTCTAGTATATATGGTCCACTGATTTTTCACAAAGTACCAAGAGGATACAAGAGAAAAAGATAGTTTCTCTAACAGATGATGTTAAGAAAAGTAGAAATCCACATGCAGAATAACGAAGTTGGACTCTTACCTTATACCATTCAAAAATGGATTAAAACTCTTCACATAAGATCTAGAATTATAAAATAGGTAAAATCTTCAGCATTTTGGATTTGGCAGTGGTCCTCAGATGTGATCCCCAAACTCAAGTAAGAAAAAATTAAAACAAACAAAAACAATTCTGTCAAACTTTAAAACTTCTATTCAACGGATATAAACAACAAAGTGAAGAGATTATCTATAGAACTTAGGAAAATACTAGCAAATTTTATCTAGTAAGCAGATAATATTCGGAATACATAAAGAACTTCAATAACATAGTAACAAAAACTGCTTAGTTAAAAATAGAAAAAGTGGATTTATAAAACATCTTAAAAGACTGTGAGATGCCACACAAACAGAACAGTGGCATAATGAACAACTTTAACACTGTTTTTAGCACAAAATTTATAAGGATCTGTCTGGAAGAAAAGCTACAATTGAGTGTTAAAAATGTGAAAATCGTCATTGGGGCAATTTAATTTTGAGTACTGTAACCTTGGTACATAGGACTGATTGCATGGCAGATCAAAAGATGTAAACCACATCATTCCTCTCAGTAGCATATCTATAATGAAACCCAGAAAACTAAGACTGTGCATTAGCTAATGACTTTGCTTTTTATCTATTTAGCCATCTCATAAAACTAGCTCAAAAAGCGCCAACTGCTGACCTGAAGAACATTGTGCCACTAGCTGAAGACATTACTGAAATCCTGTCCAGATGCTGTGAGTCTACTTCTGAGGACTGCATGTCCAAAGAGGTAAGGTGTCCCGTTACATCATCATATGTCATACTGAGTACCATAAGTGGATTGGCAAACACTTTTAAACTGCTTTTCACACTCATTATCCTAAGATTCAACATGACTTTATGACATGAATATAGTCTTAACTGATGCACAGATGAGGAAACAGTTTGACAAGGGTCAGTAATTTAGACCATTTAACCAGTAACTGATAGAATCTACATGCAAGAACAAAATGCCGTGATTCCTAAGGTCTGCACTGGCATCAGAGAGTCACTAAACACAAGGTTATTTAAATTATTTGCAATTCTAAGTACATATATTTAGGTTGCATACAAGTTCAAATTTAGTTATGGTACAAAGTCTTATTAGTGTTGCAACCAGTATATTACACCTTTAGAGGCTATTAATGCTTTGCATTATACTTTGTATAATTTAAGAGGTATCTCAAATTTTTCTTTCTCAATTTGCATAATTTTTACAAGTACATACAGATTTGTATAATTGCTTGAGAAGGAGATAGTTCCCAAGGTCTTGTTGATCTTTTTAGTAATAGATGCATTATGCTGCTTGGTCTTTTACATCATAAATTCATGATTGTGTGTAAAGATGCTTTGCTATGATGGCCTATGATGGTTAAAGGGGAGTCTACTGCACTATCAGTTGTACTATTGCACCCATTTCCCCAGATACATCTTAACCAATCTTCCATTATTTGTGTTGATTTCTCAATATTTTAAGCAATAACACACTTTGTAGCCTTATAATTAAGTCTTCTTTTTACCTTACTAATTTTCTAAGTAAAAGTTATTCCTTGGTGGTTTTTGTCAACATAAAATAATAGGTTTCATCACAGAATTTTCATACACACACAATCTTAGAAGTTAAATTTAAGTTCAAAACTTTTATGTATTAACAACGTACATTCCCAAACATTGTACATTGTATCAAGTTACTTTTCAAGAGCTTTCACACTGGCTTTTATAAATATCATGTCCACATTTAAAACCTAAGGCTTATTTTGGTAAGAACAACAAGGAAAGTAACAAATTCATTATTCTCTTCACAGCTGCCTGAACACACAATAAAAATCTGTGACAACTTGTCCACAAAGAACTCTAAATTTGAAGAATGCTGTCAAGAAAAAACACCCATGGACATCTTTATGTGCACTTATTTCATGCCAGCTGCCCAGCCGCTTCAGCTGCCAGCCATCAAGTTTCCCACAAATAAAGACCTCTGTGGTCAAAGCGGCAGCAAAGCTGTGGACCAGTAAGTAGAAGTAGTGTGGAATGTGATTTTCTTATAACTTCACCAGGAGGAAGGGAACCCTGGGCCGGATTGAGAGAGAACCTGCTGTCATTCTCTGCAAACACCTATTTCTTTACATGGTTTTCACAGAGTTGAAATGTGTGTAACTGATTTTAAATAAGTCAGTTTTAAGACTCAATAATCGGTTTCAAATGAAGAAAAACTGAGTTTAAAAGAAACATCTTGGGTAAAGAAAAAGGCACCTGCAGTTCCTAATTCTGTCTCTTGTGATTGCTGTGCATTGACAGAAGTGCCCAGCCTTTCTGACTTAAGTTCCTCTTTAAATATCTTGAAAATGACAACATAATAAGGTGGCCAATAAAAAACACATCTAGGAATGTCGATGAAAGTAAGCTTTTTATACAACGAAATGCTCTACACACATAATATACATCATGGCAACATAAATATGTGTATTACTGACTAGATTAATCATATTCTACTCCAAAGCACAAATTAAAGACTGAAAAATTATCAAACTTTTGGAGAATAACTATTTGACGCAAATAAAACAGAAAATGTAGAATGCTTTTTTCTTGACAATATTGGTATTTACTACAAGTTAAAGAAAAGGAGATTAACTAGGAAGACATGATGAATCTTGATCTTGTTTCATCTAACTAAAAAGAGAACCAAAGTAAATTCACAAGTTGTTGCACAAATTGTGAACATCTATATACTCACAGTACAAATAGCTTGAGAGTCAATTCCCTACAAAAGAAAATAGAACATAGACTGGACTAAAAGTAATGTATGTTTTCCTTATAAATATTGTTGTTTGATAAGTTTGTTATCAACAATGAGGTAAGACAAAATGGAAGACTTTGAAAAATATTTTGTACAGAAAAGTTGCTTTAAGGTACCTCACTAATATTACTTGTGGAGTGAATAATACACAAAGGGAGTGTCCATGTGAGCTTAAAGTAGGTATATTTATATGTTGTGTGTGTGAGCGTATATAGAATATTACACATATTAAAGCCAGTGTTAAAATATTTCAATGAAAATGTTTTCTAATCTAAAGCTTGTTTCCATGGAATCGGTTTGTGGTAAATCTCTTTTCGAATTAAGATATAAAAAAAAATTAGGCATGATGCTGCATGCATATAATATCAACATCAGGGAGACTGAAACAGGTAGTGAATTGGAAGTTCCCAAGATCAAGGCCAGCCTGGCTACACTGAGAGTTCCAGAATGGACCTGGGCCACAGTGTGAGACTATCTCAAACCAAACAAAACGCAAAACACACCAAAAGTCAGAAACAAGGTCTTCTGTCATTATAGTAGGTATGTCCATTTCAAATCTTGAACCAGTATGCACATCTTAAAAACTATCATTTCCTCTTCTCCCTGACATCAGGTACACATTTGAACTAAGCAGAAGGACACACATTCCAGAAGTATTCCTCAGCAAAGTGCTGGAGACCACTCTGAAAACTCTCAGCGAATGCTGTGACTCTCAAGATTCTCCTGCCTGTTTCAACACTAAGGTACACTGCTGGTGTCACTTTATCAACAGTGGAGACATGAATTGCCATACTGCAGCTCATGGGTCAAACGTGGTACACTGCTTACTGTTATATGACCTGCAAGCTAGCATTATTTCAGAGGGTTTTTTAAATCATTATTGCAAGGGAAAAATGTCAAAAGATGATTACTATTTCATGACGTGAAATTAAGTGAAATCCAATTGCAATGTTCACCAACTTGCACTGAAGTACAGTCATGCATGTTGTTTGTCTGTTATCTATGATTGCTTTTGTGCAGAGTGAAGTATCTGTAACAGTGACTATATGTGATCCATGCCTAAAATATTTACTACCTAGCTTTAAACAAATAGTTTGTTGAACTGGGCATAGTGGCTCATGCCTTTAATCCAAGCACTTCAATCCCTGGGATGGTCTACACAGCAAGTTCCAGGACAGCAGTATGCACGGAGAAATCCTGTTTTTAAAACAAAACAAAAAGCTAGGCAAGGTGGTATCAACCTTTAAGCCTAGCACCTTGGAGGCAGAGGCAGCAGGATGTCTGTGAAATTGAGTCTAGCCTGGTGTAGCCCAGAAATGATGGGTGAGCACAGGGCACCCTGGGAAGAAGGGTGGAGCCTAGCGTGGCAGGAGATTGAAAGGGGAAAAAAAAAGTAGGAGTTGGTGCCATTTAGAAAGCAGGGAACAGAAGCAGACAAGTCATGGGGCACCGGGGACCTCGTGAGGACCCCGTGGACCGGCACAGAACTCTGCAGGGTGAGTGTGCATGCAGGGACTCGCATGAGGCAGACCCTGGGCTAAAGGGATCCGCAGCTCTGGGTACAGGGTGTCCATTTCTTTGTAAGTCACCCCCCCAAAAAGGTATAAACTATGCAAAGTTCAGATAAAGATGTGTTATGTCTGTTTGTCTACCATGTTAGGAGCACAAGACCCTGAAGACAGTGAGGGAAAGTCAAATAGAGCCGGAAGGAGAAGTTAGTGCACCACCTGGTCTATGTAGCAAGTTCCAGATCAGCTGAAGTTACAAGGAAACTGTCTCAAACCAAAACCAAAACCAAACCAAACCAAAGTTTGCCAGTGCCTGGTGCAGAGAACATGAAATTATGATTTAACAGCTTCAAGGGACAGTGTTTCGACTAAGAATTTTGTTATGCGATTTTTTTACAGGGTCCTCTACTGAAGAAGGAGCTAACTTCATTTATTGAAAAGGGACAAGAAATGTGTGCAGATTATTCAGAAAACACATTTACTGAGTACAAGAAAAAGTAAGTGGCTGTGTTCTCCACATGCATCAGTCATGTTTGCCTAGTTTTGCAATTGAAAAGTATAAATGAAAAGCTGGGATGTGCTGAGTAGAGAACGTGCACTTCAAATCGATTTAAAAGATGATTAGAATTTACATAAGAATCTGACTGTAGAAGCTTCTCTTCTGGGTGCAGGGAATGTCATGTGTACTAGGTGAGCAGCCAAGTAGAACAAAACCATGTAAACTATCAAATTTATCTTCAGAGGCTTCATTCAAAGTGGCCCTATGAACACAATTGGTTAGCAGTATCACCCATGGATTTGTCTGTAGATGTTGCTTGTTCTCTGACAAGAATGAAGCTTTCATGCTGGCATCATGTCAGCCATCACCAGAATGTGTTTTTTAAGAACTGGAAACAAAAATGCTCATTATCAATAACATGAAATAATAGTTAGTTTTCATAGTTAAATGGATAAGGAAGCATCTCTATAAATAGCAATTAACATTAAAATAATTAGCCATAATGATGAAAAGCATAATGCTGGGTTCTTGGGAAAAGTCCCCCTTGAAAAGATCATACCATTCCACACTTTTTTTAGTAAATTTCTTTTCAAATGATTTGAAATCTAAGTCTCAAGTAAACAGAAATAGAACTTCACAAAAAGACCTTCTTAAAGAACTTCCAAAGTAAGGCATTGCCTTTATTGACCTCATGAAGTTCTCCTCAGCAAAGCTCTAAAAGAAAAGGAAACCTATCAAAGTCTCAAGTTTGAAATGGGTATTTCTGAGTGACCAGAAAAAATTATTATATAACTTAAAAGGACATTATGGAAACAAAGCAAAATAATACTTGACAGAGATTTAAGATTACATTCTCTGGTCATGGCTTTCAGTTCTGGGACAGTACTGGAGGCAGCTAACTACCAGTTGTCACAGTACCCACCCCAAATGAATATGTGCTAGATTTAGAGAAAACTGAAAAGACTGAGTTCTGGTTTTTGAAATCCTTTCTCCCATCTTTCTGCCCCCATTTTTGCATTCCCTGTCTCCTTTACCTCAGCAACTACCATGTCTTCATGAAGAAACACACCTCTTCTCATGTTTGACTCCTTCATAGCATCCACCTTCATCCAGCACTGGGCAATTTTGGATCTCTTTTGCCCCAAATTGCTCACTATTAGGCTAGCAAGTTTTTCTCGGAGAAAGTCATAAACCAAGCTGAGTGGTCATGAAACTGAAGTGGCACCAAGATCATGAATTATCAAACTGAGGCGAATCAAAGGGTTATCATCAGTCCTGTCACCATCTTCAAAGTGAGTTAGAGAAACAAGGGCTCAAGGCTCCCATTTCAGTGTGTCCAACACAGTGAGTTCAGAGTCAGGCAAAGTGAGGCAGAAAATCAGAGAAAACAGAATTCATAAAGGCGGCATAAGGACCTATGTAGGAAACATTTTTAATTAATTACTTTTTTAGAGAATTTTGTACACGAGTCTATTTACATCATTTCCATCCCTCCCACAGCCCTTCCAACTCCCCCCTTTCAATTTCTTCTCCTCCTCTCTGGTATTCATTGCTGCATATACATATATACATTTATAAATACAGCTATATAATGATGGAGGAAACATTTTTAAAGCAGCCTGAAACTTAAAATTGGAGAAAGGTGAAAAGTCAGAGACAAATGGAAGCAGGTGCCATTCATGTTGAAATAATGGAAGGGGATGACTAGAATTCAAATTCAGCAGTAATTTGTATGTCTTTTTTATAATATTGAAGGAGTCATAGATTTCAATTCTAACTCGTTGACTCACCAAAAATCATGCCACAGACCCAAAGTTTTCTTAAAACAGGCAGATGTTTCTTTTTTCATTTTTTAAATTGTACATGATCTACAACAGCTGTCTTTTTGATTAAGAGGTTTTCCTAAAATACGTATAGCAAAGCCTTACAAAGAACTGGTCTTTCAGATTGGCAGAGCGACTGAAAACAAAAATGTCTGATTCCTCTCCCTTGGAGTTGGCGGGGCTGGTTGACAAGTACTCAGACTTTGCCTCCAAGTGCTGCTCCATAAACTCACCTCCTCTCTACTGTGATACACAGGTAGGAAAAGGCAGCTCTTTACTTATCACTGCAGTGCTTGCTGAGCTGTACTGGTTCTTTCTGCTGGTTATTGGTGTGCTTATGTGATAGGCTTTCCTAGCATGGTAACCTGGAATGAAAATGTTTCCCTGTTTTATTCACTTAAAAGCACAGGTAGTCATTTGCAAAATTTATCAAGTGTTATAAAAAAATGATTTTTTATTTTTTTTGGTCTTTTTGAGACAGCATCTCCCTGTAGCCCCATCTGTCCTGGAACTCACTATGTAGACCAGGCTGGCCTTGAAGTCACAGAGATCCACCTGCCTCTCTGCCTCCCAAGTGCTGGGATCAAAGGCATGTGCCACCATGCCTGGCCTTACTTTTTACTTTGTACAAGACTAGACCTGTCCTCTAATACTAGACACATAGTGTCTCCCTATTCCCTACTACAGAGGTGCATTGGTATTCTCCTACAGATTGCAGTGGGAAGTTGTGTTCTCTCTACCTCTATAGAGACTGAGAAGTGAGAGAGGGGAGCCCAGTTTAGCTATGCAAACTCACTGTTGTTAGACCTGGGCTCTGCTCTGACCCAAGATATTAAGTGATTATGCTTTGAATTTCCTTCAACAAGTCAGCATCCACCCTACTCCATGAGCTGTATACTGGCCCTTTTCAGAAAAGGGATCTCAAATGTCATAATACCTACTACTTCCTCTCTAACTGTTCTATTATTTAGAACAGTCCAGAGAGAAGGGTAATACTACATTTGGCTTTTATCTCTAATGAGGGCATTAGGGGTAATTCTAAAACCTCTTTTGTCATCCTCACCTCCTCTCTGGACTGAAGTGGCATGGTTAAGAACAAATCTGTCAATTCTGTGCCATACTAAATACTTTCTTTTTTGTTCACCACTTTCTGAAACTCCTAATAGGAAGTTATATCCCTCTCCCATTCTGCTGGTGACTATTGAAGTATTTTGTTTTGTTTCTGCATTTTGTTATTGCTTCTTTTGTCCTCTATTGGGAAGGACATTTATGATCCGATTTTAACCCATCATTTTCATGTTATTTTTGAAAAATAATTTAGATAAATGTAAATATCAATGCCTCTTAGCTGATTATTTAATGTCTGTCAGAAAATCTCTTTCCAGAAGTGAAAGAATTTAAGAAATTATATTATTTTTGTTTATTTATTAAATCATAAAAGAAACAGTGACTTGTTTCTAGCAGAATACACACACACAGACACACACATATATATATATGTATTTTTCTGAGACAGGGTCTCCCTGTAGCTACAGCTGGCCTGTATTTGCTATGGAGACCAGGCTGACCTCGAACTCACAGAGTTCTGTCTGCCTTCACCTCCCAGTGCTGGAATTAAAGGCATGCTCTACCATGCCCAGCTCTAGTAGATCATATTTTAAAATATGATTGCAAAAGTATAAATGTTGAAAGAAAACAATAACCAACTAGGGTAATTTCTCACTTCAGCAAATTTCTTACAGAAGCTATTCAGTTTCCATTTAAACACCTGTAATAAATTTCTTTACTCTTAGGGGTAGAAATGGCCTACCTCACTACTCGGTGACTTCATGAATGAGAACATTCTTGTATAAATTCAGTTATCACATTCTCTTCAAAACTCCTACTGGATCTATCAGGTGTTTTTTGTCTTTTCTGTGCTCAATGGCAGATCTTTACACTTGCAATAGTGTTACAAGAATTATGTCATATAAGTTTTTGTCTTCAGATATGAGCATCATTCCTCCTAATATTTATTTTTAATGCCAATAGTTTTTTAATTTGTTTATATATGCATTTTTTAAGTTATTTAATAAGTATTCCCAGTGTTAAATGACCACAGATGCCAATCCAGATTACTATACCCAGCCAAAATGTCTATTATAGTCGAAGGGGAAAGAAAAATCTTCCATGACATAAACAGGCTGAAGGAATTCATGTCCACAAAACCAGCCTTTCAGAGAGTTCTAGAAGCAATACAAAGAGCTGAAGAAAGGAAAAGCTATACCCAAGGGATTGTGGAAAAAAAAATCCAATGAAGGTATAACTGGGGAAAAGTACAGCTATATCAAGAATGTATATTACAGTGCTGTAGTCACAAAAAAGCATGGTAATGGTACAAAAATAGAAACATAGATCAATGGAACATCATTGAAGATCCAAACCTGAGTACATGCAATTTTAGCCAACTCATATTTGCAAAGATGCCAAGAACACTCAGTAGAGGAAAGACAACATTTTCAACAAATGGTGCTGGAAAAACTGGATCTCCACCTTAGAACATTGAAACTAGACCCTTATCTTTCACCTTGCACAAAAGTCAACTCCAAATGGATCAAAGACCTCAATGTGAAACTTGAAACTCTGATACTGTTGGAAGAAACATTGGAAGAAACAGTAACCTTCAAGACATAAGTGTAGGAAAGGACTTTCTAAGTCAGCTCATCAGGAA